ACATAACGTAGGACATTTAAAAACCCAATTTGTCGGCTCTCTAGTCAGGATTTATATTTGACACCTGATGTAACAGGTATTTGGAAACCTCAATGGTAGTACATGATGACGATCCAATACCTTATTAACGATTAGTTGAGGCGCTGTGACCATGTCAGAAGAGGCGATTCCAATCCGGAAGCAATACTATCAGCATGATGGGGTTTATTAAAAGAAAATAATAAAACGACAGAATATCTCATAATCTCATGATCTCGTTACGAAATACTGTTCTAGGTAAACATAGTGGTAATAATCGCTCGCTAAATGCTTCCCCTTCGTGTTATGCGCCGAAACGTCAGTAAGTCTATCCGTACTCCATCCAGCTGTTAATCGTGTGCTGTTTCTCTTGATATCGTCCTCTCTTCCACATTAGTTATTGCGTTCTGCAACGCGCTTGTCAAGTCTACATGAAATAGTGGTTTGTCCAGGCCATGAACAACAGCACCTCTTCGCTTCTGCTTCTCGAGATCTCCTGATGACACTGAGCCATAGGATTTTACCGAGGAAAATCCTCCAATCAAGGGCTCTTCGTCTGTATTATCCATATGTTTTGGTGTCATTTCGTCGGGGTCCGTCTCCTGAGCGATTGCTGCAGCAGAGTCCTTGCCTCCGATTTCCGCTACGCTGAAAATGGATTTCCATCTTCGAGGTGCTATGCCTTCGTTGGGTTTGTATGGGACTCCGAACCCTGCTGACACCAATGCTCTCTTGGACCATCGGTTATTTATGCAAGCAAAATGCCAATCTACACCGTCAGGAGAGGCATATGAATCGAGCTGATTACGGATATCGATCAGTCGTTGAATCGAGGTGATGTCAACGTTGTTGACAGAACTGAAATCCAAGATGACGGCTTTTAATGTTGGAAGTGCAGAGTCTGGATCTGAATTAACAGGACGTTTTGCAGATTTCCTCGGCCCTGGGTTATTCCACGGCCTGTCGCCTGGTCGTTCAAAAGCTTCGGGACTGCTGCGTTGCGTGTTGGACTGAATGAAGTCGGTCAGATAGTCCAGAGAGGAGTTGGCATTGGGGTAATTGAAGCCTTCAGAAAAGCGGTAGATGAAAATTCCGGGTAATGGATGATCAACTTCAACTTCGGGGTTCGAGCCATCACCATGACCAAGGGGGATAAAAACATTTCTTGCAGAGACATCGGAATCCTCGATTGTGCCGTACTCCCCAACAACCTTTCGGTGATCATCACCAATAACATGGTCGCCAATGACCGAATGAACCTTGACTTTGCCAAGAAACCTGCCTTTGGCCTTCAGGATACGGTAGATAAACACAGCTCCTGAAAGGAGAACGGTAGCATATAGCCCATCTTCTATTTGAGCGAAGACACTGACGATAACACCGGTAAAGAAGATGAACACCTCGATCGGTGAAACTCTCCAGAACTGATAAATGGTGTTGGGAGGTGTGACGAGATCTCCCACAGCGTGAATGATGACGGCCGCAAGAGCGGCACTTGGTATATAAAAGAAGACAGCGGTCAATAGGTACGTTGCAAGTAAAACCACCAAGCCAGTAATTATCCCAGCAGCGGGGGTTCGTACGCCAGCTTTCGACTGAATCGCAGTACGACTGAATGAGCCTGTAGCTGGATATGCCCCGAGGAATGGACCAACAAGGTTAGCCATCCCAATGGCAACCATTTCTTGAGATGGATCGATGGTGTAGTTGTTGACACGCCCAAACGACTTGGAAATCGCCATATGCTCAACAAGCAAGACGATAACGGTAGCTGGTAGATATGGAATAAAGTCCGAGATGAGCTCCGTCGTTAGTTTTGGGACCCCAATATTCTGGAACCCTTTTCCGTTGTAAGTTTTTTGACTCAAAGTAGATGGATTGGGTTGAGTATACCTTTTGGAATTACCCCTAGAACTTTGAATAACGGATCGTCTTTTCTATGCATATTGAGGACCCAGCTCATTACTGTATACACTAAAATAACAAAAACCGTACGCATTGTGTTTGTGAAGAACAATAGTCTTTTATGCTTTGGATATCGTTCTGCCGCAGCGGTGAAACCTTGACGGATAAGGTATAGGATCGATAGGGCTGAGACTCCGACGACGGCATCGTAACCTGCTTCTCCGAGATGTTCGATCGTGTTTGCAAAGACTTTGTATGGGGGGTCTCGGTTCGAAAATCCTGACAGACCGAGAAGTGCTGGTAGTTGGCCGACGCAAATTGTGATGGCGGAGCCCGTCATAAAAGCTGAGAGAGAGGTGATGGAAATGAGGTCGACTATCCATCCGCACCTTAGTAGTCCGATGACGAGGACAATGAAGCCCGCGATAACTGACAACGCTGACGCAACAACATGGGCCTGGACGTTTTGTCCCGAATCTTGGACATCCTGAACAACATTCCCAACGACAGTCGAAAGAACTGCAACGGGACCAATAGATATATCCTTGGAGGTACCGAATATCCAGTAGATCAGCGCCCCTATAAAGGACGAGTAGAGGCCAAACTGGGGTTCCAGGTTTGCGAGAATAGCATACGCCATGCCTTGTGGAACGACTACAGCACCTATGGTGATACCAGCGACCAAATCACCCGCAAACCATTGCATGTTGTAGTGGCTGATCCAGGAAGCGAATGGGAATAATGAAGCTGCATATGCAACAACCTCCTCCTTCGACGGGACTTGCTCTTTAATCCATTCCGACGATGTGGGTTCAGTTTCGTAGAACGAATTGTGCCTTTGCTCTGAAGCGACGGATGAACTGCTTGGTATCTCAGCTTGTAGGCCTTGTTTTTGGTCTTCGAGTTTGATGCCCAGAATGTTAGCCACCCCCTTGCCCAACGGATTTGTGTGGCCTAGCATCATGTGTATCGGTTGGTGTTAAGAATCTGTTTCCTTTGAAGAGAAGATCCAGACTACGGCAGCCAAGGATGACCTCGCCCTTTAGCTTCTTTTCAATATAAAGCGGTCGCTAGCTCAGGCAGAACCATCGCTCGTATGTGTCTGTCAGCTCTGATTCTAATGATGTGAAACCTGCTCTGAAGTGAAGCAGTCAGTGATCACCGGACCAGCTGCAGGTAACCAAATTCATTTAGAGGCGTGGAGGTCTGAGTTGTCTAAGAAGGCGTATGGTTGACAATAGCTGGCTTAGGACTATTCTTCTTGCAAATAGGATAATAGCAAATATGTTGATCTTTGATCTTGTGGTCTGGGGTCTCAGTTTAGGCCGATGACGAATATCGTGGGGTGTAAGGCGACATAATCGTTGGAGGTTGCAACGTGGGATAATGAGTTCTCAAAATTGGGAGACAGTAAAACAGGAATCTAATGCGTTGTAGCTGGAATAACTGTGTAACCTGATTACTTCAAAAGCTAAAGTAAGAAGGCTGTAAAGTCGAAGAAGACCAGTGCTGTGGTGCGGCAAGGGCTTCGATCTTGGATTTAAAGAGTGGTAAGACTCATGATGAGCCCGGTGAAACTAGTGATCCCCGGGCCATCGGTAATCGGCATTGTGTGGAGAGGAGACATGGAGGGGCAGAATGTGTTGTCGTGGCTTCTGTTCAGCGGATTCTCCATCTTTTTCTGAATAAATGGCAAAAGTCGTGTGGCGCTTGGTCAGCTTGTGAGCATTCAGCATGATATAAAAATGGGTGTTTTTTCGATGTCGCAATCGCCACTTTCCCTTTCACGGCAATAGCGTAACAAGATCAGGAAAATAAGTGTATCAAACCCCACGTCTGAGATCCTGTAGTCCCAAGTCAGAAAACCAAGATTGTGACACAACTAGCGATGTTCCGAGATTTGCGACAATAAGTTTGTGAATGATCGTCGAGCATACACCAATGACAGTTTCTCTTTGATATGATACCTAAGGTAAGTCGGTAAAATAGAGCAAGAAGACCAACTTCAGACCTAAACCTGAGTAGGATGCTGATGTTCACTAATTAAAAGTTCTACTAAATATATCCTAAACTTACCTAGATCTTCTTCTTACTTTAGAAGAGAACCCCAACCTGCTTCCACAACTAGGTACCGTCCTCCCTACATCTCTAATACTATAGACTTTTAAGACATCTTCTTAATCGGCAAGCACTACATAATAACCAAGGCATAAGTAATGCAGTAAAAGGAAAAAGAACCTAAGGTCGTGCTATTAACAAAGCAGGTAACAGATCAAGAAACCTGAAGTTATCCAACTTTGAGAATTTTTACTCAGAATTACCTACCCACTTACCTAGTTTATGTAAATTACCTAAATAATGTCTTTCTTCAATTTCCGGAGTTTGCTACAATCTAAAAACATAAAAATCATACAGAGTCAACGCCTAGATGACTAGTTAAATTAAAAAACTTGCTGCATGCTAAAAGTAAGGTAGTATCTGTAACTTGGTAGGTAAGTACCTAAACCTACCAATCCAATACTTGCTTGCATAAACATCCGTCTCTAAGTGTTTGATAAATCGGCGAATCGGTCCATCCAGTTCCGATCCGGCTTTAAAATACCACACCTGAAACCCAACCTCTTGATAAATGATGTGTATTCCTAATGTCATGGGCTGGCAGACACCAGGACGTCTAAAGTAAGAGGCCAAACAGCCTTACGAGTTATCGAATGTAAAAATATATCGCCTGAAAGTTTATAGGATCTGCTATCAGAACAACTGATGATAGTGATCAGCCTGAGCAAGATAGGTAGATATCAATAGGTCTTAGTTGTAGAGGTTAATTGAAGAACGCGAAACCAACACGATTTATCATTGTCCCTGCATCCACATCACGTCCCTTTCACACTTCAACTCAGCCTCCAGCCTCCCCGCTAATCTAATACAGCGCTCCGAACGACTAAAACCTGTTCTCAGCGTCATCAGCCCTAATTAATATCCCCATCAACTCGGCTATCTGGCTCTTTCTCGCATGTATTGTCGTTTAACAACCCCTTTGATCGTGGCTTGACAAACTCTCCTCAAGCATCGTAACCATGGAGCCGTCTTCGAACTCCAATTCTACCTTCAAATCGGCCATCCCCTCACTCCCCGCCCCGGTTACAACACAACTCCAGGCCCCGCCATCGCCGCGGACTCATCGCGCCCTTCGACGCCTTCAATCTGCGCACACTCTAGGAGCCCGCGCTCGCGAGCAAGGCACGCCCTCGCTCATCTCCCAGCAACGCCACCGCGACACCCAGCGCAATGCTTCACCTACAAGACCGTCACAAGCGCCTCCTGCTGCTTCAGGCACACCCAGCTTCTCCCAGAATATCAATCGCTCACCTCAGCGCGGGCGCGCTAATAGCGATGCCACCCCGCCACTCATTCACCAGATGAATGTTGTCACAGCCAGCAAGCGTGCTGGGAGTAAGAAACCCGTATTCTCGCATGGCCATCTACCTCTTCATCAAATTATCCGCGAAGGCCCAACAGATGGTGATTTCTTGGGCGCTTTGGAAAGCGCACGGTGGAAGGTTATCGATGAAGGTGTCAAGAGTGCTGAGGATGGCATGGTAAGAGGACTGTTCAAGTACTCCCAGCATGGTGCACTAACAGCGGTATTGGGTAGTCAACATTGAGAATATACGTCTGGCTCGTCCTCCTGGACGCTCCTATCCTGTCGACCGATGACTACCTCGCCCTTATCCACCGAGGAGCCTCGCCGGCTTACTCCAAGATCCGCAACGACACCTTCCGCACACTTACGACCGACCCTCTCTTCCGCCGCCGTGTCAGTGAAGCAAGTCTGATTCGTTTACTTAACGCCATTGCGTGGAAGTTGCACGACGCGCGTGAGGAACAACGCCAAAGCCGCCCTAGTAGTAGCCGAGCCTCACTCCCTGGCGGTAGTAGCGTCTCCGGTCGTTCTCAGTCAGGCACAAGCACGTCATCACCAACTGCTCGCAGTCGCGCGCGGGCCTTAACACTCACGACCGAGGGCTCTGAATCCGGCGCAGGCGCTGCGACTCTAGAACCCGGCACCTATGTTCAGGGTATGAACGTTCTGGCAGCACCATTTCTTTACGCAGCTCGGAGTGAAGCAGAAGCATTCGTTGCGTTCCACTCCTTGTTGACTCGAGAATGCCCGGGCTATATTCGCGGTGCCATGGATGGCGTTCATCGCGGCCTTGCACTGGTTGATAAGGTCCTTGCTATCGTTGATCCCAAGCTCAGCATGTACCTTACTGCGAAGGGCCTTTCGGCTGAGATCTACGCTTTCCCTTCAGTTCTGACGCTTTGTGCATGTACACCACCGCTTCCCGAGGTTCTACGACTGTGGGACTTCTTGTTCGCCTATGGTCCTCATCTCAATATCGTCTGCATTGTCGCGCAGCTTACAATTATGCGGACTCAAATTCTTCAGTCGCCCAGGTAAGGATCATTCGAAAGCCTGACTCAAATACTTGCTGATTTCCAAATAGCCCAAATAAGGTCTTAAGATCCTTCCCCCAGCTTAACGCTGATCTCGTCAAATCCGTCACAATTGGCATTATCAAGAAGATACCCGACGATGTCTATGCAGAGATCGTTTCTCACGCTCTTTAAATATGGCACAACCTTAGTGTTTCTGGATTGACCTACAAGCGGCGTGGCCACTCCTAGCGATGCAAGGGCACAACATAATTGACCAGGGGTCTGGTCGCGAAACTAACTTAAACTGACGTGCATACTACCACACGGATGGAAGGTTTCTTTCGAACCACTCGTCTGTTACCCAGCAGCCTATGAAGATGTTCCAGGGTCTTGCAACAAACACACTAATTCAGGCGATATTGTCAAACCCAAAACTGGTTTATGTTTTATGCTTTTTTATGATTATTGAAACGTGTTATGATGGAACGATGGATGGTATTATAATGATGCTCGAGATGGGCTTGAGCAGGTTTCAACGGGTATTAGAGGGTTCCGACAGACGAATGCTCTAGGATGAATGAATGAAAATACGATTGGTTATGTTATCTATTAACCATTAATATTCCTTAGGGCGATCAGACTCTATAATATAAGCATCATCTACCGCATAACCAAGTCCAGTGGTAGATTTAGTACCAAACATCCTGTCCCACAGGTCATCAATGACCTTTCCTCTAAGTATAAGCAATGCTGCGACCTTGTTAAACGCCTTCCGTTGACACAGCATAATGGCCACTCTCTGTTGGCCGGGGCCTGTGCTGGCTAGGGGAGGAAAGAAAACTCAGCCCCTTGATCCTAAATGGCAAAAAGACTTAAGTAAATTTACCTAAATTTAGGATATTCTTTGCTGAGTTTATTTTGATACCCTATATTAAGGTCCAGTGTTTTCTTGCTCCCCGAGGGCTGGACCAGACGCAATTGACAAAGTCGGATAATGTGGGTAAAGCCTGCACGCCTTGAGGAGGCATACATAAGAGAGAAATCGACCTCGAAAGAAGACTGGCCCAATGACCAACCACAGAAAATCATATATGAGCATCAGCATGGCCCGTATAGCACCGCAAATGAACTACATGACACACTTACTTACGAAGCTAAGAAATATTACAATGGTTCTCCGATGATTTCAAAATAGTCAGCAACTCGCAGGGAGAAGGCAATCTTGTCATTAGGCACAGACAGCCAGCGACCGGTAACGTATGTCGAGAGATGAGGAAACCAGCTATATATAATACAAACAGCAAAAACCCATTAAATATAGCTACCGTTCCCCAGCTTAGCCAGACTCCGATGCTACCTGTGTCATGCATATCTCCCGAAACAAAAACATCTGAGGCCGTTTGGCAAGCGGACATAACGACCTGTGTAATGCCGCAATGCCAAATTTCCCAACGCCCCCTAGACTCTTCTTTCCTTCTGGCTGGTGCTTCAGCAATCAAATGGCATCAGTGGTCCTCCGCATGAACTTGTTTATGGTGACAGGAATCGTCGTCCCTGGAAAGTTAATCACGCCAGGAACGCAATGGCGCCATCATTTTCATCGCGTCTGCTTGAATCTTATTTTTCACCAACTCGCTTGACATGTGAACATTTGATGTCTCTGCAGGCTCGGAAATCAGTCTAGCAGAGCTGATTGGTGTGTCATATTCGTTCGTTGGACAATTGAGATGAAAGCTTTCAATCGTGTTATCGAGTGACTTTAGAATGAGACCGTCGTATGACACTCTGGCTGACGCAAGGTACAGTGTTGTATCTGCGCTTAGTGTCAATACTTTGTTGACCGTGGGGAATGGACTGCCCATCATTCCTTCGGTTATCTCATACGCGTCTAGGATGGCTGATTGTAACAAACTGTCGTCTTCGAATGTCATCCTGGACGCCATCTCACAAAACTGGAAGATCAACGTGCGACATAAGGCAGGTTAGGTGCCAGAGTACCCCCATACATAGGCCCTTGTTGAATTGGATGATGGCATTCGCAGTCAAGATTCTCTCGGCGAAAAAGTTTATTGTATTTGGCCATAACTTCTACTGACAGTTAGATCAAGGGACACCAAGAAACTTCGCAGAAACGCACTCACTTTGTAGGCCTCGAGTAGTCTGCGGGCATCTTGCTGTTCCATTTCGCCTTGCCCAAGCTGATGGATACGCTCCCAGTAGCCCCCTTCTTTCTCATCCAGAAGGGCACATGGCTTCGAAGAGCCTCTTGCAATTTGTGTAGCCGTGAGGAGTCCCCTCAAGATCGGGCGAACCCGTCTCGTCGTATACTGCAAATGCCGACGTACATAAAGACAGTAACGAAGACGCTGGATTGATTGACTCGACCTCTGTCGCGGTCTCATTGTTCATAAGGGACTACCACTCGACGGAAGTGATAGTGGCTGGATCAGCCATGGCGACTTTGCATTTGATTAGTATGGCTTATGTAGATAGCCTGGAATAACAGAATATGCTCACACTCAACGTTGGCGTTGGTAGGGGAGTACTGTGGATTGTAAAGCGAGGCTGGCCCTTTGAAAGTCAGTCGAGTCATGAAAGAGAAGCCGTGTGTCAATACTTACGTATAGTATAGCCACAGGTGATACATTTGGTGTCCAGTTTGTCAAGAGAAATGCTCTGTCGAGTTTCAGTTAAACAAAAGAATTGGGAGGGGAGAAGAAGACTGAATACCAGGCAGCCACCTACTAGAGATAAGTCTCTTAGCCTGGAGATGGAGAGATGAAAGAAAGAAGAAATGAGAAGTGAGGGAAGATCCTCTTTGAACATCTTACCCGACGCCAGGGTCAGGTTCAATCACTTTCCAGGGCGTCAGTGATAGTGAATCACTGACAAGAGGTGACAAGAGGTGACAACCAGAAAATCGTTCATAGTCTCCCTATTCACCACAGATTTCGTCTTAGACTCTGATATTTCTTTCCTCTCACATCCACGAGCTGGTAACTTCTTTCTCACAAAGTCAAGCTTCTTTCTTTTCAGACTTCCAGGTTCTGGATCAGAGCTATCCCACGATTGCGAGAGCTATTACCATGTCAAACCTTCCTGTCGCTCGCCCCAGAGCTCTGGAAATACCACTCGAGCTCTACGAAGAGCTAACTTTGTGGTGCAATAACCCAGAAATTCATCACAGTGCTACACTTCAATTCTTGAAATAGAGAGAGTTACCTTTAACGCAAAGGTTCGAAGAAATTCACCTCGGACATACGCAGGAGAGATTAAACAGAGTCCTTCGAGCTTTCAACTGTTACCATAATGCAGCGATAAATATTGCTCAAGTGAACATAAAAGTTGGTTTCATTGATCGCCAGGTCTTCCTAACTACTTCTAACGACGTTAGTTCAGGTTTGCATCCTTCATTGCCAAGTTTCTGCCCCCAGAAAATGATTCGAAGGCGAGCGGGATTGATCTTCCTTAAGAGATCGTGTTTGCAATAGCCTCCCAAATCGACTGGCAGCAGTCTCTGGAAGTTGGCTAGAGTTCGAGCTCCTTCGCTTGACCCTGTGAATCTCGACGAAGATCAAATCGGGGAATTTAACAGATGAATGTCGGGCTACTTATTATGCCTAAGGAACAAGACACGACCCTAAGACCTCTATCTGAAACAGAGAAGAAAAGATTCAAACAGGTTTAACACAGCTTACAGATAGGCAATAAGTCTAAAGACCTACTAAATTACTTTAAGTTTGCCTTCGTCCTTTTGTATTTTGGATTATGGTGTCAAATTATCTCCGCCTATACGGCCTACGTGCTTCATCATTCGTAGAGTTAGCAGTCCAAGTCTTCTCGCGGTCTTTTATATCGATGTTGTCCTGGGGGATCGTTTCGGTCTTGGCCAGAATGTTCTTTTACCATACATCAGAAATGGTATTGACTCCGGCATTCTTCAGGATCCATGGTGCAATTTCTTTCGACATCGTTCGATGTTGTGCAGTTCTATTTGAGTTTCCGCCAAGTCGCTGTCCTCTCGCTCACTCTATGCTCTTTTTTTCTTCGGCCCCTTTCCTCGTTTCACCTCGAACAAGAACTTCCCTAGGTGCAATATATTTGCAAGCCCCTTGAACTTGAAACATTCTTTTTTGTATCTGCCGAATCCTGAGGGGGCTCTCCATGAGGTTCGAGCAGCTTGCTTCTCGTTGAGGCGACGCCCTCCACTTTGGTTTGGGAGTCACAATACCTTGATCAAAAAAATGATACAGGTCTTTAAAAACATCAGACGAGATAGGCGTATTGCGCTCATCTCCCGGGACTTGGGAAGCCCTTGGGCGCACAGGCGCATCTAAATCTTTGATAGTGTTGACTATGTGCTGTGAGATGGTGTTCTTGATGTTCTGTGCCTGTATTTCTCTGACAATGACGGTTTGATGACTCCTGCACGCATCAGGGCAGCGGCAAGAAACCTTAGGTAAGTTTAGTATAACTTGGAATTACAAGTCTAAAGACCCATCTTGTTATCCTAAACTTGCCTAAATCTTTGCATAATTTAGGATATAGATCCTAAGTCTTGATGTCGTTAAGAGATCTTGAGGTTTTCTTGTTCGAACCTTGGCCCACCCCGAAACGCACCATCACCGGTTCACCAATTGACTCCAAGCTTCTCAGCAGTCAATTATTGGAACTCGCGAACCTCCAAGAGAACCTCAGCTTCATCCTGATCCTTGTTAATGACTCGGATCATGGTTTCAGCCACGACCTTGTGGCGGTCTCTCGTTTTTGAGGAATGATGTGATCTTGACCATCCTGTGCGATACGACACTTGGTAAGAAATCTACCACTAATCTTGGTTGAGCGGTGGAATGATGCTTGTGTGATGGAGTCCGCATCGCCCCTCTCCAAATCGTAGAAGTCGCGCTCCCATACGAAGCCCTCCAACTCTTTGGCACCCAGTTGATAGGACCCTGACTCTATGAATGCCATCAGTTCGTCAATGATAGGTTATCTCATGTGCTACACGGGCGTTCATGTCGGTGACAGAGTGGGTGATAATAGCCCAGCGACGATTGGCTTCGTGACGGGCCCAGGGAGCCAATGCTATGGTGCCCGGCTTCTCATCGACATCGCAGCCTTCATATTGTAGCAGATTTTCCATGTCGGCGATGCACAGGCAAAATTCAGGACAGACCCGGGTGTAAACTAGA